CTTAAACAGACAGAAAGATTTAAAACAGACAGGACTGACTTCACTGCAGTTTAATATTCAAGTTCACTGTGTAGATACAGTGAAATGTGGCCATGTTTTTTTTTTGTTTTCTTTTTTAAATATTTACTCCCAATATCTGATCACCAGATCACCTGTTTGCTAGAAAATAATTGTGGATATTATTGGGAGAAGTTACATGTTATCGTATTTGGGAGTTAAATGGTTAATGAAGATGTTTCACCAAAGATTTTCTATGTAGTGGTCAGTTGTGACTTACCTTTTTAAATAATGCTAGTTTACCTGTCTTCCTAGAAATTGTTTTCCTGCTCAGTGCTGCAAGCTGATAATTAAAAAGGCATGCAAGAGAGAAAGTCGAAAATGAAATCAGAGTAAGTGGTCTCATTTTCCTGCTGGCTTTTTTTTATCACATGGGAGGTGAGCCACCCAATATAGGACATTTCATGTTAGTCCCCAGTACTTTTCTGTCATTTGTGGTAAGGTGTATTTACCAACATGTAAAACAAGATGATTTGATTGAACTATTCCAGACTTTGATGAGATATCAGATTCAGATGCAGTTTTACATTGACTCAAGAATTTCCCTTGAAATCTAACTTAGTTCTTTTTTTCTTCAAGGCACCTCATTTTTTTCACCTGTGATCGGTGGCTGGGTGGCAGATACTTTTCTAGGGCATTACAACACCATATATGGAAGGTCTTTGCTTTATGTGGTAGGTGCTATTATTCTGGGTGCTGCTACATTTAACTATGGTGCTATATATGGACTGAGCACCGGAACTAGAGAGGCATTCTTAAAAATTGCGTTACTTCTCATTTTTATCGGAACTGGTGGAATCAAAGCCAGATCAAGAATGAGGGGCCCATAATTGTCCAGTGGTTCTTCGACTGGTTTTACTGGTTCATTCAGTTAGGACTTTTTTTAGCTTACACCGCAGTCGCTTTGGTGCAGCAAGAGGTGTCGTTCTTCTATGGTTACGTCATAACCGCTCTTTCAATGTTCTTGGCAGTCATATTACTCGTATGCGGTAGAAAATACAACATTACTCGTGAGCATAAAGAAAGCTACCTTTCTGAAACACTGAAGATAATATGGCTGGGATTAAAGAAGATTCGATGTGAGGGAAGCGCACGAGTTGGGTCCCACTGGCTAGACCGGGCTAAAGAGAGTCTGGGAGGAACTTACAAAGATCAAAGAGTCGAAGATGTCAAGTC